GATAAAATGAAGTAAAAGTGAGTTGATGCCCATACATGTACAAGATGTCTCTTGGTTACAAAATCTTCCTTTTAAAATATCTCCAGAGAAATTTACATATCTAGGAATTCAGATTAAAAAATATCAGAAACCTTTTTTCAAGGCAAACATTCCTCCTCTGCTTTCTAAATTACAGTCAAATATACAATTCTGCCACTAAAATGGTCTTTCTGCCTCAATTACTGTACTTATTTCAGAATATACCTGTGTTTCTCGCTAAATCCTTCTTAAAACATTTAGACTCAATTATGGTCCCTTTTTATGGAGCTACAAAACACATAGAATTGGCGAGAAACACCTCTGCAAATCTAAAAAAGAGGGGGTTCTGGCACACTCATGACATATTGGCTAGATGACACAGCAATTCCACCAAGTTGGCTTAAAATGGAACAAGAAGCTTGTAAACCTCACTCTATAGATGGCATTTTTCTGTCACCTTACACTATTGAAAAATCTCCTTTTAATTGTCATGATGTGATTCACACTACACTTAGAATCTGGAAACAAATTAAGATAAGATATACTCTATTGATCCCCCATATCCCACACTTTACCCATTGTTGGGAGCCTAACCTTTGCACCAGCTAATCTAGATAATGCTTTTACAATCTGTAAAAAGACAGGTATTCACACTATAGGAGACTTATACATTGAGGGCACCTTTGCTTCTTTTGCTCAAATACAGGGTAAATATAAACTTCTTCAGATACTTGCAAATAAGAGACTACGTTATCAATCAATCAATCAATTTTATTTATAAAGCCCAAAATCACAAATCACAATTTGCCTCACAGGGCTTTACAGCATACGAAATCCCTCTGTCCTTTGGACCCTCACAGCGGATAAGGAAAAACTCCCCAAAAAAACCCTTTTAACGGGGGAAAAAAATGGTAGAAACCTCAAGAAGATGATGTGTGTTTCAGTAATATTTGTGAATGTTCAGAGAATGTTGTTACATAGCACTGTTTGTTACCTGGGCCAGTGTTAAGGTGCTGCTCCTTTCAGGGCAACTTATTTTGAGAGAAAATCAGTTCAGTGGTGTAGACACAGTTCAGGTGTTAAAACCCATCTGAAAAACTTTGAGGTGTGTTTTGCTGTGGTTCTATGGCATGAGTTTGTTTGAAAAACGGCTTCAATTAAATGTTCCTTTTATAAGTTACTGCCTTGCTACAATATGACAAATTTTATGATGTAAACTTAAAGTGAGCTTCCCCCGGTTTGAAAGACTAGCAGCCGCCACTGGTATATGTAAATATGTTTCCTTATTACTTTTCAAAATATGTTCACAAAAAATTTAAAAAGAGCATATAACAAGACAACTGCATGTATGTGTATTTGGATACATTGACACATTGCTTGTCTATTTATGACGCTATTTGTTGACATGCTCTAATAAAACACCTTTGAAACAGTTTTGTGCAGGTTAAAAAGCAGGGCTCCAGACTAATGGCCACACACTTAAATTAATGAGCAAGTACAAGAAGAATACAAAGACTGTTTGGCAGATGGCCTCTGTGACCTCACTGTTGTGTGAGGAGATGGCTAGTTGCAGCCGATATCCTGGCATCCCAGAGACAAAAGAAAATGTGCTCGCCTTCAGGACCAAAGGATGCAGTAAATTGTTGTCGCACCAGAGAATGTACCCTATTGTTTCCCTGATAATGCTACATTGTGAACAACGAATACATGTTGAAATCAGCATAAGTAAAGCTAGTTAGCTGTTAGCAGCTTAAGGCCACAACTAACAGCTGACAGAGGTTGCATGCGTTCAAGCTCTTTTTATTAAAAATGAGAATTGGGCAAAGGTAAATTATGACGCCTTCATGACATGTTCAGATGTAATCTTGTAAAGTGTAGTTTCTGGCAAGAAACTTAAATAAATGCAGTTGTTTAAAGGAGACATTTGTTGTTTTCGCAGCAATATAAAACAGATATTAGAGAGGGAATTATGAATTATACAGAGTAAAAAGTCTTTTGAAGCAGTTATTTTTTGAAATAAATTTTCATGTTAAAGGTTATATTTAAGTTTATAAATGTGTATGATTGAGTTTGTGCTCATTCAAAGGTAGTGTAATGAAGGACTGAATGACTTTTCAAAAGTTCAGTTATTTCTTTTTATAGTGTAGATTTTGTTGTTTCTCTGGCACAAAAGGGGCAACATAAAACAACAAAACAAAGTAAACAACAATATAAAAGTACCAGTATCTGCTAACTGCCAAACTGTCTTTTTAAAGATCGGTATCACTATCTGACCGGAATTTAAAATTCAGTGCATCTCTGCTAGGCATGCTGGGAAAACTGAGGTCCTATTGGGAAAAGCCTAACTTGCCCACAATCTCTAGCCACGTATAGAGCCTGTCTATGTCAATGTCGACTTCCTTTTTAAATTAGTACGTTTACAGAACAACAAGACACAAAAACAAGGTTCTGTTTGAAGTCTAAATTTGGTCTGTGTTCACAAAGGACTCTTGGCACATTATTATGTTTGATTATTTATCGTAAACTGTATATCAAGATGGACGACATGAGAGCGCCCCAAAAGTGAAGTCGAAATATCTGGATATCCCCCTGGTGGCTGGCTGCAGTATAGGTCAAGAGCCCGCCCACTTCATGTTAGTGGATGGGACATGGGCCAAACTAAAAAGTCAAAGAACACGTCAAATAATTTTTTTTCCCAATGATGGCTTCTGTCATTTTGGGTAGTTTTTATCACACTGCTGTATGTTAAATAATTTTTCTGATAAGTCTGGTTTTAATAAGGTATATAATGCAAGGATTTTACAACATGACTGACTGACAACTGTGTGGGCTCTAGTTTCGCAGACCGGGCGAGGCAGGGGCGCAGCGCACCTGCGCTTCGCCAACTGGGTGTGGCCAGGCAGATTTTGCAAGTTTGGCACATGGTGCGCCTGGCGCAGCTACTCCTCTTTCCCACCTCCGTTCCTCCTACCTGCGCAAGTCGGAAAGAGGGAGGAGAGAAGGCGTGGAGTGGATTTTACACACATCACACCAATCAAATGAGCCCCTCTCCTCGCCCTTAAATGCGTAATGAGAATTTACTCAATTCGCCATGGCAGAAGAGAGCAGCAGCGTCAGACGGCCCAACTTCTCCCAGAAGGAAACTGATGTTTTGGTCCGGGAGGTCCAAGCTCACAGTGTCCGAATATAAGGTACTGCGTGCAGACCTCATGGGCTGATGATGCAAAGGTAGCCTGGGAGGAGGTCACCACAATTGTAAATCAATGTTGCGTTTCTCTCATGCGCGCGCGCTCTCTCTTTCTATCTCGCAGTCTCACTCTGTTTCTTTTCTTTTGACTTTTCTAAGATGACAGATGCTGAATATATACTCCCTATCTGATGCTGTGGCTGTTTGTGGTTGGCTGAGAGGGATGTGAACTCATTAGTTTGCAGCTGTGTTAATCAAATCAGGTTGGGTTTCCATTACGTGTGCCAAATGTGCCAAACGGTGCCAATCCCCTTTGATCTGACATTAGATGTGACAGGACAGTCGATATAGAGATACATTTATGTGCTGATTGCAGATAGTTGCATTGAATAGTGTTTTTTGGGTATTTATTGCATTGTTAATGTGCCTGACATTCTGGAAACCTGCCTGTGAGGTTTTGGTGACGTGTGCTCACTGTCCGCCGGTCAGCCAAACTTCGGCTTACACCGGCTGCGTTCCCGATGCACTGACAGTAGACCTGGTTTCAGCTGGCGAGCTTTTAGCGCACAAAACTGTCACTGCGCCAAGCTGGATCTGTCGACACCTCCCCCTGCTGCGCAGCCACACCCATCTCAGCACACCTCGGTCTGCCAAACTACCAAACTGAGCGCGCCTCGGGTTGCACTGCTCGAAACTAGCTCTGCGCGGGGTTCGCCACCCTGCGCCACCCTGCGCTGTACTGCGCTGGGAAACTAGAGCCCCGTGAGTCAGTCCGTGGGCTCGCATTTAGTTTTTGTGCAGTGGGAAAGTTGCTCAAGCTGACAGTCAGCCATTGGTCAATGTTAGGCCGTCTGTGAGTGTGTGTTGCTCTAGTTTGTACAGTGTGTCTCACACCATTGGCACTTGTTGGCTTTATTCAGCTGATTCAGCATGTTGAATTGGTGTCAGAGACAGTGGAGCCTGTTGGCGGTAAAATCCTTTTGATTGGCAGTTCAGCTCAGACCACGAGAAGAAAAACAGAAGTGAGAAAGGAAAACAAATGACTAAAGTCCTGAGCGAGTGAGATCAAAACAAACTTGTTTGATGAGATGAGATTTTTTTTTTTTTGCCATTGAGCTCTTTGGAGGGAACAGTACATAGTTGTTTGTGTTATTGTTTGCCAGTGCACAGTAAATGTTCTATAATTCTTTAGGGATTCTTATAAGGTTTTGTTGTTAATGGCTAACTGGCATCTTGAATCCATCCTGACGGTCTTCCAGTTCCCCTTTTTTGAATGAGTACAGACTACCACCACCTGCTGGTGTGGAGAGTTATTTCCTTTCATGCGGGTGCAGAACATACGTGCTAGTCAGCCATTGACCATAGTCTTTGCAGTGTGTTCAGTCCAACTTTATGGCTGCAATGTGAGGCAATCCAACAGTTAGCCTTCATTGCAGCTAGTTCTTTGATGTTGGTTTGGTGTGTCTGGGCCTTAAGTTAAGAAATGCTGTTGAATTTGCTGAAATGTGGGAGTTGTCAGGCAGACAGATTACATTTAGGAACAAAAGCTATCCCATGTGAGCTCAGGCAGTGACAATCAGATGAGGCTCGGACAGAATGACATGACTGGCGGTGTTAGACAGAGCTTGAAAATCATCTGTGAGCAAACCAACAGGATGGCAAGAGATAGTATAACCAATCAAGTAGATTAGTTCAACTAATATAGCTCACTTCTGTATTGTTTCCAAATACATCCAGTTCTTCTGTTTTTTCATTAAATTCCACACCTTGTATGCGTACAGCAGTGAAAACATACCTTGCTCAGGATGTGGATGATATCGCCCTCTTTCAAGGTCAGCTCATCCTCATTTGTAGCCTCAAAACCAAATGTGACCTTACAGTACTCTTTTGCTGAGGAAACAGAGGTAGTGGGGTCTTAACAAGAAAACCAAACACAGCAATGTGCATATATACAGCTAGTTACTATTCATGTGCTCAGAATGTCTTGAAACTGGTACACCTGAGAGTTAACACATCTCTTAGAGATAGAAACATCCTATCATATTTCCCAGACACACAAACAACACAAGGTTTACACTCACTTACATAATTTCTTTTGGAATAACTGCTTTTTCCGGTATTTGCAAGTGATGTTTCATTTTATCCAAACTCCACAGTGGAGCTGGAATCAATGACAGATGCTAAATTTGCTATCAAAGCTAGCACACCAGCTTCACAAGTAAACAGGACAGACAGAAAACAACTGTAAGTCAAGATACGTTCCACAGGTCAAAGGATCCTTTTACAGTACTTTGATGGTGTTTTACCTTTGGATTTGCTGTCTCCATCCACTCGTTGCAACTCTGTCATGTTGGGATGGGCGGGCTTTGCAGCAGATGGTAATGATGGGATTGGCTAAAATGAAGCAAACCATACAGATGGAAATGATTTATCGCACATGAATGGATATGTGGCTTCACGAAGAGGAGTCCTGTCTATCATATACTTTCTGAGTGGAGAACTCTGACCGTGACTTGGTGCTATTAAATATAAATGTGTATGAATGGCAAGAAAAGACTACATGGAAATAAGGAAGATCAAAGTAACAAGGAGCACTACTTTGCTATGGTACTAAGAAATAAATGCATAACCTGCTAAAGGTACCACACAGAGATATGTAACAGAACTTTTCAGATTAACAGAAAATCATCAAAAAGTCAAAAATTAAGAATGTTACAAGCAGGATGGGTTATGTCCTTGATACGACTTCAGGCAGAGGGTAGAGTGGATTATGTGGACGGGTCAAGGCCGTGGAGAAGAGCGTGTTAGAGCATGTGACATGTGGTGTTATGTGAGGAGTGGAGGAGAGTGAAAGAAGCCGTGTAAGTGGCGATAGAGAGAGTGAGGGCTGTTGTGAAGAGGAGAGAGAGGGAAAACAGGGGACAGTTTTAGAACGGAGTTAAGTGCTAAACTAAGCAGTGAGCCGAAGTTCATTTCAACATGCTGCTGACCTGAGTATAAGAGGTATACAGAGACATCATTATATCTATCTGTATCTGTTCAACAAACAAAATTATCTCTCTGCGTCTCTGTATTCAGACCAGAAGTGGCCGTGGTTTATACTGGAAATCACATCACGTCTTTAACCTAATAGTCTATGGCAATGCAATGGTTGTGCCTTCAAAGCATTACATTAATTTAATGATGCCTCAAAATTAATAGGAAATTAATTTCTACATCCTCATACTGTACTTTTCATCTCTTTTTCTACCCTTAATTTTTAACTAAACTAAGTTTTATGAGCTGTCCATATGCCTATTACAAAATCCTAAAATGTAAATATAAACATATAAAAGTCCAATTTAGTCCAATAAATAAATGAATAGGTTTTTATCTAACAACAACGCAACGCAAGCAAGCAAGTCCAGTTGCCTACGATATAACACTTATGACTACTGTTATTTATTTTAAGGAACTTGTATGTCCTAATGCCACATTTATTTCCTAGCTCTTTTTATTTCCATCTATTTAAATAACGATAAAATAGTTGGAAGAGTGTTAGTGGACGCTAAGTCAAAAATCTATAAATCCTGATGCTGATACATACAGCATGTTACAACCAAAATTCCCAAAAGTTGGGATGATGTGTAAAGCATAAATATAAACACAATGCAATGACCCTGTAAATACTTTTTGACCACAAAGACAAGCTATTTTATGTTCGAACTGAGAAACTTAATTGTTTTTTGTTTTTTTTCTTTATGAATATAAACCCATTCTGAATTTGATTCCTTGAACAAGTTGTTTCTGGATGTTGGTATATGGCTGTGACTTTGCATGACACAGCCTGAACTATCATTTGTAGATGCAGTCAGTAATCAACTGAGTTTACTGACAATGGTATTCCTAAGTGTTCCTGAGCCAATGTAGTAATATCCTTTATACAATCATGTCAGTTTTTAATGCAGTGCAGGCTGAGGGGTCAAAGGTCACAAGCATTCGATACTGGTTTCAGCCTTGCCCCTTACGTGCAGAGATTTCTCCCAATTCTCGGAATCTTTTGATGATATTATGAATTGCAGATGGCATAATCCATACATTTTTTGAAATTGTGTGTTGAGAAACAATGTCCTTAAACTGTTTGCCCACACAGTTTTTTCACAAAGTGACTGTCCTTGCCTGTAAACAACTGAGCCTTTTAAGGATGCCCCTTTCATACCGAGTCATTATGCTATCACCCGTTACAGATTAACCTGTTTACTTGTGGAATGTTCCAGGTACAGTTTTTTGTGGTCCCTGTCCCAACTTCTTTTTTTAAATTGTGGCAGCATCAAATTCAGACCAGGTTTTAGTCTAATTGCTGACACACATGACGCCTCTTCTTCCTCGTGTTCTCTCAGTCCTCCTGGGCTTTAACTCGCTGGGGGAATCAAAATATGGTGATCACTTTACAATAATGTGTAATTCATGAAACAACTAGGTAGCAATATTAACATCTAATGTTGCAAACAGTATAGGCATTTTAATCTTGTGGTCATCCACAATGGTATCCATCAGTTTGATGATAGATTTGATTTTTTTTTCACCTATTACAATGACATAAATCAAAAATTGGGTTTTCTATTTAGAAATTTAAAGTCACTGCTGTCACACTGGCTAAAATGCCAATAGATCTCAATCTGTCCGTTTTACTGGTAGTTGCTGCTTGAATTTGATGTCATGTACACGAGCTGATGACATGCAAAACAAGTGTATTCAAAGCAAACAGACACATCACTTGAATCTGGATATGTTCCCTCAGTGTTGACAGTAAGCTACAGACTTCTCAAAAGGTTTATCTGTGTCCAGTTCTCCTGGGACACTTCCCACAAAACAACACTGAAATAAAGAATAAAGGAAAATAATTCATGCATCAAACAGATGGAGTTTAGAGATATTACTGAGACTGAGGGCTATGTTTAAACAAACTGCCTGCAGCAAATTACTGTCAGAAGCACAATGTTTTGCATGTATTTTATTTACTAAGAGTAAATAATGTAAATGAGCCCAGCAGCGGTTCATCTGATTTGGACAGGTTGCTGCTAAATAAGCTGTAATGCAAGGCTACTTATCCTGCAAGGGAGAGTTTATGAGAGAGGAAATATCAAATGACCTGATGTTGTTAGCTCAAAAGGAAACATCACTGATTGAATGAACATCAAAAGTAATTAAACATCTACAGAAATGCCTGACTAGAGGAGTTCTGTAAACAGGTTAGAAATAATATAATAGGCCCACTTAAAAGGCAGCTTGGTCATATCACACTGAACTGAAGTTGCTGTGAGTCATCAAAATTCAATAAAAATACATACATATCACTTAAATATGGGGATACTAGCATTCTTATTAATGTTCTTTGTTTTTTTATGCACACATCTTTGGAAATACACTGCAGTCAAATCCACATCCGCCCCCTTGGCCCTTGCTGCATAGGGTAGGGTGTCCTGTTTCTTTTGTAGAATCGAAGGGCAGTAGTCATCCAGCCCTTGAGGTGGCCCTTCAAATACAGTGTTTTTAGATGCAGACTGCAAACTGGGTGGTAGAGGAAGATTCCCAGAGTGCTTTGCAAACTGCAGTAGTCTAAACATTAACATGTTACATACATATGTAACTTGATTGTTAAAGGGTCAATGATGTGACGCTACTTTTTTGTGTCCATATGGTTTAGTCAAATTCAAAAGGGATAAAATTTGAAAATAAATGTATGATTAACTTACAAACTTTTTTTGTGGATCCAGTATAAAATTTCTGCTTTTAATCCATTTTGAGAGAATATATTAGAGGATTATGGCAAAAATGTCTAAATAGTGTAACCATAAAAACGCTGCACCAAATAATTAAACTTGCTTAAAAACACTAGAATTCTCAATAAAACACCATATAAACTAGTTTGGCATGATCTTATATTATTACTTTTTATGTTAAATAAAGCTAATGGAATACAATTGTTCTAAATATGAAATTTAATTTGGGGAGTCATAAAAGTCAAGTGAACTACAAGTCAAGTCGTGTAACCAGCATTTAAGAGGCCATTTTGTTGATAGTGTAAAGAAGGCAATGTGACAAGAAATGGTATTACAGAGATATATTGATCACAACTTCTGCATGACAAGGTTGGAATCTCTTAAAAATTACTCATAAATTGACATTTTTAGGCTTTGGTCAGGTTTGGTAAGTGTACATGTCAAATGGTATGACCCTAGAAAAACATTTATAATTCATAAGAATCATAAAAATGAATATTTACTTTAAAAATTATATTTGAAATATTGAGACCAAGGCCATGTGCTTACACAGGTGTCCATGGCAATGCCTGTCAAATTTGATTTTAAAATGAAATGTCAAATGGTGTAACTGGTTACATCATTTGACTCCTATTAAAAGCCTTTCTGTTATAGACCAATTATGTCAAATATCAGCAGTTTATGATGGTAATTTGTTAGATATCAGTAGCTTATGATGCTAATTAAAGATGTATTATAAAAAAAAATCTTTTGAACTTGTACAGTAGCTTTAAAATACCTAAAAATCCAATAATTCATTTAAAGTAGAAATGTTACTCAAACATTAAAATTTCTGTCTGTAAAATACAATTATTTACATTTCTTCTATTTCATTACTAAAATATGATACATTAATAGAAAATTAAAGTAATCAAACTAAATAAATAAAATCAATTTTCCCCATAAGATGCCAGTTTCTAAGAAGCAAAAAGTGGCTTGTCACAGAGTGGTAATGCTAATGAATGCTAATGAATGCTAATGCTGCAGCAAGGGCCAATTGTTGTCAGGTGAATTTTTCCCTTATCAGAAATTTAAAATACTAAACATAAAACATGTGTTAAATTTTAAAATTAAATGATTGCTGTTAGCAAAGAATTTACAGTAGAAGAAATGAGTTCATTGTTGTGAGATGTTCCTTTTTCTGAACTTTCTCTCTCATTAAATTTTTATCAACTGCATTCACAATACTAGACAAGTTCACCCTTATGAGTTGTTGTCAGGTGACTTTTTTCTTATCAGAACTTAAGATACAACACAAGTTAAATTTTAAAATGAAACATGATTATAAAATGTTTTTTTCAGCAAAGAATTTACAGTAGAAGAAATTAGCTCACAGATGACAGATGTTCTTTTTTCTGAACACTTAACCTTGTTGACTGTCATATTTGATTTTCAGTGTCCATTTCTTCAACAAACAATGGTGTTTGACTATAGAAGGAACAAGGTCAGGCAGTGTACCTATCATATTTTTATGAAAAATACTGGTTACACCAATTGACACAACCCAGTGTTATTTGGTTTAACTGGTATTTTTTCATAAAAAATATGATTATATACATGAAAATGAATGTTATTTCAATTTAATGCTTTTAA